TGCTCTCCTCGTCTACATCTTGACCTTTCTGCTCGGCCTTCCTGCCAACCTGCTCGTCTTCTTTGTGTACATGCGCAAGGCTCGTAAACATGGCGCCACACCCAACGTGGTCTACGCCCTCAACTTGTGTCTGGCCAACTTGGGGCTGTTAGTCTGGCTGCCTGTCAAGACTTTGGAGACTCTGCTTCAGGACTGGAGGCTGCCTGCTCCCGTGTGTCTTGTCTACAACTTCTTCCTCTTCTCGTCCCTGTATGGCAGCTGTCTGTTCATCACTGCTGTAACGGCGGGTCGTTACTTCAGCATAGCATTCCCGATCGTCTACAAGAGATGGCGCTGTGCTCGTAACTCCTACATCATCAGCGCTGTCTTGTGGCTGTTGGTGGTGCTACACCTCAGCCCTGGCGCGGTGGTCGAAGAAGGGGGGTTTTTTGTTTCCACAGGTAATAACTCATCAGTTTGCTATGAAGTTTTTAGTGCGTCCCAGCTGGCCGTGCTGCTGCCACTCCGCCTGGAGATGGCCATCACCCTGTTTCTTTTGCCTCTGATTGTGTCAACTTTTTGCACGATGCGCTGCGTCACGCTGGTGTGGCGCTCGAAATTGTCCCCCATGGGAAAAAGAAGAGTGCTGGCTGTTGCGCTGTCCACGCTCGCTGTGTTTGTGGTTTGCTACGCACCCTACAACGCCTCACACGTCGTGGGGTTTGTGATGGGGGAGAACGTGAAGTGGAGGACGTACGCTATGCTGACGAGCACCTGTAACGTATTCCTGGACCCTGTGGTCATGCTGATGCTTTCTCCAGTCATGTCAAGAGGCATCTTGGGAAGAATCTGTGGACGGCAAAGCCAGTTCAGCCACAGGGGGGGTTCTCGGTACCGGTGTAAAGCCGTCAGTGAAGCTTCAAAAGTTAGACCACCAACTGTCCCATCTGAGGGGAGCAAACCTGGGGCTTAGATGACCTGAGAGTGTCACAAGGAGACTGTGCAACAAATTCAAAAGAAGAAATGGTGTAAAAACATTTAGTCTGATATGACCACGCTTCATGTACCAGTAACCTCTGCAAACAGACCCAGTAAACCTCCTCCACACTGACTGTCCAGCTACATGAAGTCTGTTAATTCAGAGCTGGCTGACTTCTTTAAAGCTTTGTGTCGTCAGGTGTTAACGACCTGTTTAGACCAAATGTTTCTAAAGAAAAGAGATGATGTAAAAGCCTATTTTTCAGACTGAATACAGCTGTAAGGTACTGCTGTGTCACATGTAATGTTTTGCTGATTCTTGTAACATCCTGGTTTTGGATTAAAATGATGTGTGGATAGTATGTGAAATCACTGTTTTTGACCAGGCACACTGTGTATGTTTAAACATTTTATTTCGAATTTCATGAGGAATGTTTATCGTCTGATTTTAAATGGCTCCATCTGGTGTCTCAAGCTGTAAAAGCTCACTTTAAATTGTGTCATGTTTTGGAAAGTGTTCAGTATTATAAGACATTTCTCAGAGGTGAAGCGAATCACAACATAGCTGCCTTGATTTTCAGTGGCATAATTATCAGCACGGCAAGATGAAACAAGTCTTTAATGTTATTAGTTACACCTGTGTGTGTGTGTGTGTGTGTGTACATGTTTAGATATCTTTTTGAGGACAGAATATGCCTCTATACTTGTGGGGACTAATAGTCACTTATGGGGAAAAAATGCCCTTCCCCTCAAGTTTGAAGGCACTTTTGAGGCTCAAAATGTGTTTTTAGTGTCAGGGTTACAATTAAATTATGGTTAGGTTTAGTCTAAGGGTCAAGGTTAGGGTAAGTGTCTGGGGAAAGCATTATGTTAACAACATGTCCTCACTAAGATATGAAAACGAGTGTGTATGTGTGTGTGATGTGTGTGTGTGTTTTAAACAGCTTTTTGATAAACTTTAATTATCAAAAATATGATGTCTGAAATTAATTACATTTAAATGAACATCATAAATTTTTTGTTTGTGCATAAATTGATCAGTTCCTGAAAAGTTGAGTTTCTTGACTAATAAAGCAGTGCGTTTACAAACGTGTTGTGTGGTTTGTCTTTTCAGAAAATTAAAAATAATAAATCTGACTTGTGATCAATCATGGGTGACTTTAATGCAAAGTTGGAGATGAGATCAAGAAATAAAAGCGGTCAGCATCTTATTGGACAGATAAAGTAAAATCACTATATCATTGGAAATAGATGACATTGCTTTCGGAGGAAGGTTCAGGGACTCGGTGAAAGTTTGTAAAGTGTATCCGGGGGCAGACTCTTGTAGTGATCGCAGTCCATTTCGCTTTAAGAAAACAAAGAAAGTCCTAGATGCCTACAATACCTGTCCTCATGTAAGCATGGATGTTAACCTCTTAAGCCCCAAGCCTACCTTATCTCCTGCTTTTTGCCCCCGTATCAGGGGGCGTTGGGGCTTAAGAGGTTAAACAAGAAACCTATGAACACCATCAGTACAGCAGAGATGTGAGTCATCGTGCACTGACAGACTGACTAATGAAGACGTCCTAAAAAGAGCAAAACAACTTTGTAAAAATATAATGATTGAATAAAGATTCCCATTATAATAGATATGTTTCATCACAGGACACATATCCCTCTAATGGGATAACTATACTCCTCACAGCAGAACAGTGTTAGGGTCAAGTTTTCTCTTTAGTTTGTCACCTTTGTGAGACCCCGTGTCCTCATCCTGAACCTTATACTTCCTCCTGGTCAATAAAGTAATAATAATAATAATAATAATAATGGATTGCATTCATATAGCGCTTTTCGAGACCCTCAAAGCGCTTTTACAATTCCACTATTCATTCACTCTCACATTGGTGGAGGCAGCTACACTTTAGCCACAGCTGCCCTGCCCCAGGGCGGCTGTGGCTAAAGTGTGCTATACTTTGGTGACTTTGTTGTCTGATGCTGTAAATAAACCCGTTGTCTTCGTTAATGTTAATGTTATTAACGTTCAAAAAAGATGCTTAGAGTTCACGCCAATCAGGTAACACTAATCCCAAATAGCTAGTAGAAATTAAAGATCCTTCCTAAACAATAGCTTGGGTCTCAAGAAACACCTGTTTTGTTATAGCATGCTAAAAGAACAAAGACTGTTTAAGTAAATATACTACACACATATGATAATACTTAAATAAAGAGATATGGAAAGATATACAGTTATAAATCATGCTGTACTTTTGTGAAATAAATAAAAAATAATAAATTAACAGACTTCCAACCAATATGTATTAAGTAAAATAAATACAAACAATGCAAAGTAAAAATAAAAAATTATAACA